AGTAGGAGTGAAGTTAATTTTATCTCCAGTTGGTTTTAGCTGATATGAGACCCTGCACTGATTTTCCGAGTCTGACTCTAAGGAATTGGGATGTGAATCATCTTCAGAGGAGGTAAAATCACTTCGGAAGCATGTAGTGTTTCCCTGACTCTGGACTCCCCAGAAACCTGCAGTTTCTGCAGTATTTCTGCTGCCAAGTGTTTTACAGCCCCTAAAAAACTCTGCTGCAAAGTACTGTTTGTAAGTACTATGCAAATTTTTGAAATTAACAAGTAAAGGTTTATTCCTGGCTGAAAAGAGAAGAAAAGAAAAGCAACGTTTCAGCTGTGGAGTCTTCTTCGGGTGTATGAAAGTTAATTGTTGAAATTAAGTTACACATCTCTTTCTTTCTGAAACAAAGTTAGATACAGGGAAAGCAGTTTAAAACTGGCAGTATATAATTCAGTGATGTGAGGATGATCTGTATGATACAGAACTGCACTAAAATCTACAAGTGTTTTTTTTATGCTGAGGCATAAACTATGGAGTCACATTGAACCTGCCAGTGAAACAGGAATACTGGGGCTGGGACCCTGGAGAATTACCAGTATAAGGCAACAGATCTTCCATGTAATGAACCCTGAAATCTATAAAGGCACGTAGCTTGTGAATCATTACACGCATTTTGTCTCTTTTGAAAATATTGTTGATGGGGAGCATTTTCAGACCTCTGTTGTATAGTCTTAAAATCATTTTCTACTTGTTTTAAATTAATACATAAAGGATGTTTAGACTATTTGTTTAGAGATGTTTAGAGATTTTGCCTTGCAGTGATTAACTGTAAATGGCAAGTTAATAATCTTAAGTTTTAATTACTGGTTAAATACTAATCCATGCTGTGTATTATATTCAAATTTTAGCAAATGTGTACTTAATTTTTCATTTCACTAATTCATTTTTATTTCCCAGATTTCAGTCCTGTTGCAGAGGTTTCAGTTTAACGTGAAATAATTTTCCAACTCTGTAAAGAGATCTGGGTTAAAAAGTGTGTATTTTAATAAATATTAAAAAAAAACATACAGTACATTCACTTACTCTGGTGCTCCATTTGAAGTTTATAAGCAAGACCTGTAACAATGAAATTTGAAAAACCTTTAAACAGAACCTTGTCATTCTAAATAAACAAGTCTTTTAAATAACACTGATGCGTTGGTTTTTGAAAAATATACACAGGTTTTTCCAATCTGTGCTTCTGTCAGTGGGGCTGTGAGGCTGTAGTTTTCTTAAAGAAGTGAGTTTCTTGTGTCTTCTCGTCACCCACCTGATGGGGAATGATGTGGCGCATTCAGCCTCACCTGAGCTGGTTCTGCGCACGAGGGATGATGTCAGTAGTGCGAACAGTCGCACTGCCCCTCGCACTAGTGTTGGGGACTCACAAGCTCCTGAGTGAAGAGACAGCCAGACGTTCACCCTCATTACATGGGCTTCTTAGCCGACGTCCTGCAGTTCCGGTCGGTTAGTGGGCAATGATAAAATTGTACAAAGTAATTCGAAACACGAGCAGTTGTTGCTGCTTGGGCCCTGGGTTCCATTCCTGTGCGCTATCTGCATGGAGTTTGTATGTTCTCCTCATGTTCATGTGGGCTTCCTCCCACAGTCGAAGACATGGTGGCAGGTCAATGTGTTTCCTTGTGAATTGTCCCAGTGAGTGTGTCTGTCTTTGTCCTGTTATAGATAGGTGGACTATCTAGGGTGTGTCCCACCTTGCACCTGTTGCTTGTCAGGTTAGGCTCAGTTTCCCAAGCTACCCTGTATTGCATAAAGCAGTTTGAAAATGGTGGATTTAAAACAGTAAAAGCAATTCGGTGATTGTTTTTTTTTTGCTTTTGCTGTTAATGCATTTGTACCTTTGAAAGATTTCATAAACAGCAGAAATATGATATGCTGCAGTTAATTGTAACTAATGAAAGACTCACACGCATGAAAAGCAAACGGCTGGTAGGCACCGGTTGTAAATAGCACT